AGGAGATCAGGCATTTTCCAAGTCCATGAATGTTGGGTTTCTCAAAATGACACAAATGTATTCTCAAGCAGTTTCATAGCTCAGAATTCCAGGCAGGTACTATGAGTTTCTCTGCTCAGGGGCTCATGGAGTTAAAGTCAAGTTGTTGACCATGCCGAGTCATTAACCGGAAACTCAAGAGAGAAAACCTGCTTCCAAGCCCTGTCAGGTCATTGTCAGGTCTAGTTTCTTCAGGTTGTAGGAGTGAGGTCCCCAATTCCTTTATGTCTCTCAGTTGAGGCCACTCTGAGCTCCCAGGACCACACCCATAGCTCCTTACATGCACCCCTCTTCCTCCAAGTAGTAATGGGGCATCACGCACCAGGACTGATGTCGTTGTGTAGACACTGCTGACTTCTTTGTGCGCCAGTCACACAGACCCACACCAAGAACCCAATACGGCACCATTCCCCCACGTGGTCAGTCAGCTACCAGGTGGCATGTTGATTATTTTGGTCTCTTTCCTCAGGGAAAGGTAGCTGCACCTCGGTTCTGCCGATGGATCTTCCTTCCCACCCATTGATTTTTGAAAAATCGCTGAGGAATAGGATTTAGTGCAACCTGATGACTTCACGGGGTCCCCCATTTCAGGGGGAAGGCAAACAGACACACACACACACACACACACACAATAAATCGTCTGTTCAAACCAAATACTTAGGGAAAATGCCCAGCTTTTAATAACAGAAATTTATAACATTTAAGTTCCAACTCTTTTTCTTGGCCTCAAGAAGACAATTGTCTTAACTAACACGTGTGAGGAGGCATCAACAATATCGGGTTCCATTCTAAGGCAGCCATCTTGTTCTGGTTTGTTATTGATCATTTCACTAGTAGGATTATAAATTTGGGGTGGGATTATCTTCGTTGAGAATTTGGTCTGATTCCAATTTTTCTAGTACTGTCTCAAGGTGGCTTATTAAGTCTTGTCTTTTAAATCTGAAAACAAAGAAACAAGTCACTAGCCAAAAGATATCCAAGAACCCATAATTATGGAGACTCTGGGAAGAATAGAAAGAGAAGCTTCCAATCTACATGGGAATAGAAAATGGACCCTCATGGTAAGAGACAATCTAGGAAATACAAAGAGTGTCGGTCAATGGTCCACACCCACCTGAAATTCTGTTGTGAATAGAAGTCTTATTGAGCTTGGAAGAATGAGGCAGATCAGATAATATCAATCTAAATAACTACAGAGACAGCATGAACTCTGAATGAGGGCAAGGATTTAAGAAAGCCAGGCAGTCCTGTCCCCACCCTTTGCCCAGCACCTCCCTGGGCCCTGCTGTGAAACATACTGGAGTTTCTCTCTGTACCCACCTTGTTGCCTTCCTCCTGCAAAATGCGACAAAATTTTTGCCGCAATTCCAGAGGTTCTTGCACTCCTTCAAGCAGTTTGAAGACTCTATCATATTCTGGATATATTTAGAAAAAAAAACTGTCAGTATTTCTAAAGTAGAAAGAAGAGGCAGAACTCAATCTTGGTGTATCTGCTGCCTCAGCAATCATTCAAGGGCTAGAGTGTTACATAGTACTTGTGCTTTACATGCTTCTGTCCGGACACAGAAACATAGCTACCCATGGAACCCTTATGAATAATAAACAATTAAGAGATTAAAAAAGAACAAAGTACTGAGACATTTTAGTCACAATAAAGAGGAACTGTCTTAAATTATGTGAAAACCCAATTCTGGGAAAGGATAAGCCGTAAGAGCTCTGTGGAATCCAGTCTAAATCACAGAATGAGAGGGGCGCCTAGGTCGCTTAGTCGGTTAAGCATCCAACTCTTGATTTCAGCTTAGGTCATAACCCCGCAGGTCATGAGATCCAACCAGGCACTGTCAGTGCAGAGGCTGCGGGATTCTCTCTCTGCCTCTCTCTGCCCCCCCCTTCTCAAAATAAGTAAACTTAAAAAAAGTTTGAACTCCTAGAATGAGAAAGACTTCCTGTGGTTTCACTTATGAAAATTCCTATTCTACTTACGTTGTCCAAATCTTTGAATTTCCTTCTTCAGTTGATGTTTCATTTCCGCAGTGATTTCCATCGTTTTTGGCAGTTTCCCTGGCCCTTCTTCCAGCACAGATACGGCGGTGACCTTGGGATCATCTGTAGAGAGACGGATAGTAATGACTCCTCCCGCCAGTGCGTTACTACCAGGTTTGTGACTCGGCCCACCTTTGCTGAGATGGGTTAAGTCACGAGACAGAGAGTCCAATTGGTTGGTGTAGAATACCATCTCCTGCCATATTCATAGGCTCTGGGCGAACGGATTTTGACAAGAAGCTATCAGTAGGGATCGACCACTTTTCCCTCGCCTGCTGTGGACACTGTGAACGACAGGTGCATCTGGAAACCAAGTGTAATGCGGAGCTGCAATGGCAGGCATTTCAACGACCCCGCATGGACATCCACGTGCTCCACAGTCTCTCAAGTTCTTAGGTCATAGCAGGAGGATACGCCGGATCTATGTATCGGACCTGAAAATTGGACTTCACGAAAAATAACAGAACAAAGAAGCCTCTTACATTCTTGGCACTCTGCGTGCATACAGAAATGTAGTTGGACAGTACAACCAGTAAACAAACATTCACAGGGCCCTGGCACTCATGGTTTAATGCCCCTTTGATGCTGTTTACAAGGTAAAAAGCTGAACGTGCCACTTGATGTCAGCATGCCTGATATTGGCACTCCATCACTAACACTCCCAGTCAGTTAATGATCTTCCTCATCTATCTTTTCTGTCTCGGAAGATGAATTATTTTCTACATCATGTTGACACCTCTCCTTCATTTACTCAGCCTCCTCTGTGCCAGGCACTGAGCCAACTGCTGGGAGATCGTCAGGGAACGAGACAGACAGAAACAATCCCTACCCTTGTGGAACTTACATCCTCATGGGGAAGTCAGACGGTATGTGTAAAATGGGTAAAGGGAGTTATACAGTTTGAACTCGTGTTAGGAAGGAAGACATCAGGGATGTGACAGAGAGCAGGAGGGGGTGCCTCCAGGATCCGCGATGGGACAGGGCCCTCTGAGGAGGTGACCCGTGGAGCAGGAGACAGCTGCCGTGAGGGCCAGTGCAGGGCCCTAGGAGGGGACGAGCCGGGGCCATGGAGCAAAGGACAGAGGCAGAGAGAGCAAGGAGGACACCCAGAGGACGCGTGCAGGAGAGGAGGGCAGGCCCGGGTCCTGCAGAGCGTGTAGACCAGCGTCGGGAGCTCCGATTCTGTTCTGAGTGCTCGGGGGAGTTGGTGGCGGGTTTCGCGATGGACGCGGCAGGATCGGATTTCCGTGCGCACGGGGTCAGTCGGGCTGCAGGGCGGTGATGGGTCAGGGGGGTCAAGTGGGAGAACAGGCTGTAAGGTCAGAAGCTAGTGCAGCGACCTGCTGAGTGAGGAGGCGGTGGGTAGAGGGACATCCCGATGGTGGGATCCAGGAAGGAGTACAATATTAAGAGGAGAGCCAGAAGACTCAAAAAAGAATGAAAGAAAAGGAATATTCAATAAGGAGAAGGAAACCAGTTGAGTGCGGAGCTTGGGAATCCAGGAAGGTTTCCAAGTAGGAGAGCGGGAACACCTGTGCCTAATGTGGATGAGAAATTAAGGGCAGCGTCACCCAAAGCCTGTGACCTTGAGGGAACCGCTCCCTGGCAGGGAGGAGCCAGAGGCCAGGCTGCACTGGGGCAGGTCAGGAAGGGGAGGGGGGACAGGCAGCCTCACCATCTTCCAAACACACGGCTGAGCCCCCGGGCTCGGATGCTCCCTCTCCTTCCGGCGTCACTGACAGCAGCCCCACGGTCAGCCTTCTCTCAGACGGAGGAGTCTTGGGTTCTCCGTGGCGTTTCATTTGGTTCTCGGGTCCGAGAGGAGGCTCTTCTGCTTTATCAGTCATTTCCTGAGAAGCATCAAGAAGCGTAGTCCGGGGCGCCTGGGTGGCGCAGTCGGTTAAGCGTCCGACTTCAGCCAGGTCACGATCTCACGGTCTGTGAGTTCGAGCCCCGCGTCGGGCTCTGGGCTGATGGCTCAGAGCCTGGAGCCTGTTTCCGATTCTGTGTCTCCCTCTCTCTCTGCCCCTCGCCCGTTCATGCTCTGTCTCTCTCTGTCCCAAAAATAAATAAACGTTGAAAAAAAAAATTAAAAAAAAAAAAAAGCGTAGTCCATTAATGACAAAAATGTAACCATTCCAAAACCGTATGGAGCTTCCTCCAAAAGTTAAAAATAGAACTTCCCTATGATCCAGCAACTGCACTACTAGGTATTTACCCAAAGGATACAAAACTGCTGATTCCGAGTGGGTCATGCCCCCGCGTGACTATAGCAGCGCTATCGACAACAGCCCAAATCTGGAAAGATCGAAATGTCCATGCACAGTTGCGTGAATAAAGACGAGGTGGTGTATGTACAATGGAATATTCCTCAGCTATCGAAAGGAATGAAATCTTGCAATTTGCAATGACGTGGACGGACTAGAGTGCATTATGCTCTGTGAAATAAGTTAGTGAGAGAAAGACAAATATCATGCAATTTCACCCCTTGTGGAATTTAATAAGCAAAACAGATGAACATGGGGGGCGGGGAAAGAGGGGCTACCAGAAATCAGCCCTTAAACTCTCTTGGAGAACAAACTGAGGGTTGCTGGAGGGGAGGGGGGCAGAGATGGGTTCGATGGGTGATGGGGATTCAGGAGGGCACCTGTTGTAACGTGCACTGGGGGGTATATGTAAGTGATGCATCGCTAAATTCTACACGTGAAACAAGTATTACGCTGTACGTATTTCACTGTAAATGCTAAGCTGTAATTGCATTTGAACCTGAAATGTTTAAGATCCGGGCCCGCACTAACGTGACCCCGTGAGGGGTGAGCAGCACCGGGGCCCGCTGAGTCCTCACAGCTGAGTCCCCCACCCAGGGGCCGCCCCCTCCAGGTGCTCAGGGTTCCCGCCTGGCCTCCTCCATGGTGTCCACCCGCACAAGTGCAGAAAGGAGCCCTTCTTCCTCTCGGGGCTGCTCTGCAGTCTCTCACTTGTCACAGCAGAGTGGGGGCCCCCTGGGGGGACGCACTAAACAGAATCTTCACACGAAGCGCAAACTGTACTAAGAGCCCTGCCTTGTTCCGAGAGGACCCCAGGCTGTGGTAATGCTGAGTGTGCAAACTGCTTGTGGCCAAGTGGCAATTTCGGGTGATTTCCACCTGCACCCTGTGTTTTCTCTTTGACTTGCCGCTGTGAACGCTGTTTTGCAAAGGTTGCTTTCAGGCACAGGAGCACAGAACTCCCCCGTTTGGGCTAAGTGGAGATTAGCATCAAGTGAGGCCAAGTCCTATATTAACAGTATGACCAAAGTCCTGGCCTCTTCCCCACGTTCTCTTCTGCTTTCTGGAAGCCATTTTCATCCCCGTTCCGGCTCCTCATCATGATCGCAAAGTGGCTGTCAGGGCTCCGCAGTTACGTGCTACTTAAGTCCTGTGTCCTGGGAGAATACGGTGGCATCTTGCCTGGCGTTCCCAGGAGGGGTCCTAGGCTTTACTGGATGGAAACCTTTCGTGCACTTGTCCACCTGCACCAGTTATTTGCTCAATGGGGCTTCAATCAGAATGTGCCAATTTGCTCACTTCAAGCTCCAAAGAGCAAATGTATAGATTGAAAGATACCATGAGACTTCATCATGGCCTCACAACGAGGCCTGTCTTCAAAAATCAGAATATCATTTCCCTAGGGGTGTCTGGGTGGTTCAGTCAGTTAAGCGTCCGGTTTTGGCTCAGGTCATGATCTCACGGATCATGAGTTCAAGCCCTGCGTCGGACTCTGTGCTGATAGTTCAGAGCCTAGAGCCTGCTTCAGATTCCGTCTCCCTCTTTTTCTGCCTCTCCCCCACTCATGCTGTCTCTCCCTCTCTCTTTCAAAAAAAAAAAAATGCTAAAAGACTTTTTACAAAAGAATACAATTTGTCTCAAGCAGGCCAAAATTAGCAATGGTGTCAACAAAACCCAAATCCTTAATATCATGCAGATCACAAACCCTAAACACAGTGAATTACATAGGACATCTTAGCGACCACAACAAAAGGCATTTCAAAATTGTAACACATGCCTCTAAGTAAATACTTACTATTGATCTAGGAAAACATCTCAGGACAAACTTTGTGGGACACACTGCCTGAGGAACATATAGATAACGTGCATCTCTAAATGCTTGTATTTGAAAAGAGAAATGGCTGAAAATAAATGAGGTCTGTGAGTGTAGGAAGTTGCAAAAAGACTACACTAAATGCCGGGAATGGAGAACGAGAGCTATGCTGTGTTCTGAATGCTCCTGTCTCCTTTCAACTCATGAGGTGAAATCCAAATTCCCGACGATGAAGGTATTAAGCGGTATCAGTGGATTGTGGGAGGAGGTCCGTCAGACATGAGGGTGGCACCGTCCAGAATGGGATAGTGCCTCCTAAAGGAGGCCCCAGAGAGAGCCCAGCCTCCCACCCCAAGGACAGAGTGAGAACACCTGACCTCCAAGCAGGCCGCACACTCTCACTAGCATGCCATCGCACCGGCACCTTGACCCTTGACTTCCCGGCCTCCGCAGCTGTGGAAATACATTTCGGTCGTTGTCAGCCACCCAGGTTGTGGCAGTTTCCCATGACAGCCTGAACAGACGAAGACAGCTACTCCAAGTAGAGCGGAAGTGAATGAAATAGAAATAAATGATAATAAAGATACAGAAGCAGAAGGTGTTCGTTGACACTAATAACAACACACACTAACCTCCACATGACTATCAAGGGCAAGTTTTTCACAGATAAACAACATGAGCCATGCAGAAGGAGAGCGAGCCCTGCATCCTGAAGAGAGTTCTGTGAAAGACAGAAAGCTGAAAACCCAGATGGCACAGACACTTTTCTAGAACGATGAAACCTACCAAAACGTACCACGAAGAAACAAAATCTGAACGCTGCTCTAGGTGGTAAAACTTTTAGCACCTATTGAGGAACCTTCCTATCCCGAAGGCTTTCCTGATGAGTCCTTCAGATATTCAGGAGGGAAATAATAAGACCAGTTTTACACAAACCCTTTCAGAAAAGGCAAGAAAAGTCGTGGATTCCCAACTCACTTTACAAAGCCAAGATACACATGTTATCGACATCTAACAAACAGAACCCTGAAAGCAGCCAGAAACAGTACTTCACCCACAGAACACCAATTTGAATGATGGTGGATTTCTTATCTGAGATCATGGAGGCCAGAAGGAATTGTCACATTATTCAAAAGTTCATAGGAAAATACATCTTTCTTTAGCTTCCAGAAGTTTAACAGCTAGTAAATCAGTGGTTAACGCATGAAATTAAACAGTACATAATAAAAACCATCCTATGGTGGTTGGGTATACTGCTGGAAGGCAAGATCGGTTTCACCCTGGAAAGGAAACATTTCAGTGCACTACATTAACAGCAAAAACCCAGGGAAACGTCACAGGGTCCTTGTAATAAACCGGTTAACATCGGATACCCGTTCATGGTAAAATCTACCAGCAAGTTAGGATGAAAAGCCACTTCTTTAACCTAAGAAATGGTAGTTGCCAAAAAAAATTATACAAGTGCTATAGTTAATGGTGACAAATCCAACCCTTTTTTCTTGACTTTTAAATGAGACAAAGGTGTCGACGGTGTCTCCACAATCATATTGAAGGAACTGAAAATGATAGAAAATATAGTAAGTATAAATTCTGGAAAGAAAGAACTGACATTGTCACTGTTCACAGTGGACCAATTTTGTACATAGAATATGCAGAAGTGTGTAAAATATTTAGAATGGATAAGTGAACAACACCGAGTTCCTGGGTGGAGATGCAAGAATCAAAAACCACGAGTATTTCTGTGTAATAACAAATCAATTTGAAAAATTATCTGCAACACCATTGTAAACAGCATCAAGACCATCAAAACCCGGGGAGTAAACCTAATGACAGGTGCCCTGGAGAACTACACGTAACACAAAAACCCCACCGAGAGATGTTTCAGGCTTCGGGCAATGGAGAGAAATACATTTGTGTGTGTGTGGGGGGGGGGCCCTTGCAAGACTTGTTATCAATCATTATTGCCACTTCCACCCGGATACCTACTGCAATCATACTTAAAATATAAATAATTTCTCATTTAAAATTTGAAAAATTCCATCTTGTTTCTTTTCGGGGTAACTGGTGAGCTGATACTAAACAGGGGAAGAGCGGGGACAATCTTTCAGACAAAGAACAAGGTTGGAAGAGGTACGGCGCCAGCTAGCAGACTTCCTGGAAAGGAGGAGCATGGCAAGCACGTGGGATTGGAGCAAGGGTGGGCGGATACACCCGTGCAAGACCCTAGAGAGGCTAGAAATCAATCCAGAAATGACAGCTGCTAGACGGCTGACACTGGGGCCCGCGAACCACTGTGGTCCCTTCGGTAAGTCCACCCGGTCCCTGCGGGGAAATGCGCCTCCTCTCTGACCTCAGTCCCATCCACACCACATTGATGTCAGATGAATAGGAAATCTGGAACAAAACTTAGGACATTACCTTCATGGCTTTAGAGTAGGAAAGGTCTTGAAAAAATAAAAGCACTGACCAGGAAGAAGAGATTGTTCAATACACTTAATCGAACTGAGAATATCTGTTCATCAAAATGACACTATTGAGATGGTGACAAAGCAAAACAGATCTGCAGAAGATACTCAGAATGATATATTTAAATATACACAGAAATAGAAATATATGTAGGGCTACAAATCAATTTAGCAAAACACAAATATTTCAATGAAATGTGGCTAACAGACCCGGAAAGGCACCTCGTAAAAC